TTTCCCCAGTCCCTAACCATGGGCCCTCTTGCTCTGGGGAAAAAGAGCACAACCCTTCCCTCAGGTGTGGCCTCTTCATCAGATGCTGACTGAGCTGCACCTTTCTGATCCCTTATCTCTCAACAGCTGATCTCTGCAGTGGTGGGTGAAGGTCCTGCACTCTGGCCCTAGGGTGGGCTCTTCACCACCCTAGAGGGCTGATTGCCATGCTTGTAGAGAGCTTGGAGAGTCGTTTCCCCTTCTCATGTGTGCTTTTAGGGTCGCTACATTCATCTGCCCCACTGAGCTCTGTAGGGGTTAATGCATTACAGTTTGTACAGCTCTTTGAAGATGAAAAATGCAATGGAAAGGTTCTGTTATTGTTACCATGTATGAAGAGTTCTGTACCAAACCCAACTGTATTGTGTTTGGCCACTGGATGTCACAGCTGCTCAACACACAATGCAGCTGAAATAAGAAAGGAAAAGTGCCTACCCAGCAGTGGGCAACAGCCACATTTTCAGAGCCTTTATTTGTTCTGTGAAGTGTTTGTTTGTTAAGGGGCTTGGGGTCTTTTGCTGTGTTTATGCACTGCTAATATTGACTTTCAGAGAGACTGAGCAGCAGCTGTGCTTCCTCTGCGTGTTATTACACTGGGACATCAGGAGCAAAATGAATATTTTTATGGAAGGAGGTGCAGATATGTATAAAGTAGTAATGACACGGTGTCTGAGAAGGTGGACAGGTATTTGCACATGCTGACGAGCTATCTTGTCACTGAGTTATTCCTTCTTTATCCCACCACCATCCAGTGCACAGCACAGAGCCCTGGTATGATGGAAAAATTTCTCCCAGGCCGGCTCTTGACAGCACTCCTTCAATCCTCACACTCAGGCCACATTCCTGTGTACCTCACACTAAATGCAGAGGGAAGATTGAGCTCCCCCTTCCTAATCCTCCCTTCACACTTTCTTTTTTTTTCAAAGTCTCAAGTAGAGATCCAGAACGTGAAGTCACTTTCAGCAAAGTCTGTAGAGCAGACCTATATAGACATTACAAGAACTGTAATTACGTTTCCTGGAAATGAAAATGAAGAGGGGTTATTTGACCATGTTCTCTTCTTTTTATAGCATCACATTGTCCTTTTCACCACCATGGGGAAATGGCGAGTGACAGGCTGCTCATGCTCGTGGTGCGGTGAGGTGATAACCACCCCAGGAGTGATGTGAACATTAAAGAGGGAAAACTATCTTCAGATGATCCGAGGGCTATAGCTATAACTAAGAGTAATTGGCTGAAACTGAGCAAAAGAAAATTTAGGCTGACAATGAACTGCAGGTAGCTAATGCTGAGATCTGTTAGACCGTGAAATGGAATCCGCAGAGGAAACCTCTCTGCTTTAAAACGGGCAAATCATGCTTTTAGGAACACTGGTGTAAACCTCCGGTGTCTGTCTATCTCTGCCTCAAAGCCCATTTCTGTCACAAAGCTTCAGCAGAATCAACAAATGTATCTGAATTTATGTTGGTAGAAGGTGAATTTAGCCAAGCACATCAAAATATTATATAAGAGGAAGGAGGCCTAAGGGGATTGTGTGAACTGGAGAAATGAATTCTAGTGCTTTTCTGCCTCTGAGTTCCATGATCTCTGTATGTAGTTGAAAGCCGGGGGCAAAAAGCAAAAAAAAAAAAAAAAGCATGGGCAAAATTTCAAAGAAGCGAGGGCCAGTTTTGGAGGGAAGATGTAAAAACATTACAGGAATTGTGGAATAAAAGGATCTCATGTTTCAATCTGCACAGCTATTGCCAGCTTTACTCATGGGTTTGGGCCCACTAGCGCTAGCTGCTTTTTGTCTTTCGTAAAACTTGTGTAGGCGCTGAATACTTTTATTCATCCAGCCTGACTTCAGCAGGGAGAGCTCCATTTGAAGAGGTTTTAGACTCACTTACGAAAACCTAGATAGCCTGACTGAAGGCAATCTGTCCGTCTCACATCAAACAGCCTGTTCCTGGTCAAATGTTTGCTGGACTCGGGAGTGATGCAGCTATTACTGCAACCCCTGATGAAATTCCCACTGATTCAGATGGAAAGGAGTTAACCCTTTCAAGTTCTGGGTCAAAGGAGCACTGAGGTATTGAGCCAGCTACTTCAATGCAATGTCAAGGTTTTAATGTGGCTACCAATACTCAGAATGGATCTGAAAGTCAGACTTGAGCTGAGCTTTAGGCCAGCGAGGACAGAGGGAATAGCCCGGGAGAAGCAGGATTTAAAAGATGGCAAAGAGTCAGGGAAAGCTGGAGAGATAAAAGTGAAGTGCATGGAAGCCAATGATGTGGGATTAAAGGCTTATTTCCTACTGCAGTTGGGGCGGGAGGGGGGAGGCTGAAGTCTGTGTAACTGTCTCTGTGTAACTGTGTCTGTGTGAAAGTAGCCTGCTTTTGTGAAGAAATCATGCCAAGAATATTCATGGCTGAGATATCTGACATTAGATTTTCCCACTGGCTAAATTTGGGTCCTGTTAGACCTACAATCTTCTTCACCTGTAAAACACCAAGCACGGTCCTGCTGTGATATCTGGAGTTCCTAGGCACTACGTCCATACTTCTCTCTAGCAATTATATTGAGGTAGCAAAACAGATGACTAATAAAGACAAGCCTCAAGCCAGCCAGGTTTAATACCATATACACTAAAAAAAGCTATAGCTCCAAGAATCAATAAGTGACTGTTGACGTGTGCAATACTTTATACAGGAGAAGGACTCCTTCCATATTATTCAGCTTGTATTTAGAAGCTTAATATTCCAATACATTTAAAGAGTTTAATTAAAATTATTTTTCTGTCATAACTCCAAAACAAATTCATACTTAATCCCCTTAGTAAATCCTCTCCCCAGATTGCTGTGTCTTGCAGAGTAGCCACTAATTTGGGGGAAGCTAACTTGAGCTAACAGAGATGTGGTTTTTGAACCACATCAGCACCCACAGCTCCTGCTGATGTCAAGTGAAATGTCACAATTTTAGCATGTTGCAAAAGCTCCATTAAAAATTAATTCACTGTCATCTCCAGTTTCCTGGCACCAGGACATTCCCAAATGGGCTTTATTTCAAATCCTTTGTGCAGACTGGGCTAGCTGATCGATAAAGCACAGGCAAGAGAAACAGCTTCTCCCTAAATGACATCCATTTAAACACTCTGGGCACGCACACACAGGCAGGGTGGCAGGAGGGATGCTTTGGTGCAGAGGTGGCCTCCTGTTCTTGACTCTTGTTCACACCCTCATGTACTGCTGTGGAATCCTGGAGTGTAAACAGGTATAAACCCCCAAAATTTCTCCCTCAGCTAATTTCAAAGCCTAGTTACTCAACTGGATACACAAGGATTATGAAGTGCATTGCAGGGCATGTTTGATTAGTTTAGTCCTTCCACAGTTCAGTGCAACTGTCAGAATAAATGACTTCTTTAGGGGAGACGGGGAAAAATACACATTTGGTTAATCAACTCAATATTACAGCAGTTCCCAAAGATTAAATATGCACTGCACAAAACAGCAAACCAGGAAAGGCCTTTTAATGTTAACAATTCACTTGCAAAGAATAAGATTTTGAATAAAAAACCTGATTCTGTTGTTCAGTACAGTCAGTTCACATGAAATCTGTTACTCACCTATGGCTCTTATTGTTGAGTTGCTGTATTATGTACCTTATTGCTGAAGAAAATAATTGCAAATATTATTGCAAGTGGCAGGGACATTCCAAACAGAAGTGCTGAGATTTCACTGATGTGAGCTTTCTTGCCAAATGTTTAATACTGCTGCCTGCCGCCTAAAATCAACAGCAAAGTTGTGCTGCATTTGGTGGAAGCTGTAGCTCTTCTCAGTACCAGGTGAAAATTCCATTCCTGGGGAGATTTCTGCTCCCCTTTTGTTATTAAACAGTGGTTTATGGGTTGGGAGGCACCGCTGGGCAGAAAGGGCTGTCGGTAGTGTGTCATTCTTGGGGGGAGGAGAAGGCTTTTCAAAGGGAATGACATTTGCCTAGTAGCAGGATACAAAAAGGCAGGCAGAAGATCCATGGTCTGTTCCCTGCCCTGCCGAATGACTTGTTTACTGGACCTTGGGCAATGATTTTGTTGGGACACATTTTTAAGGAAATCAAGTGTCTGCAGATGTACAGAGCAGCTGCTGAAGTCCACAAGAGCATTTAGACATCTGACACCAGCTAGTTTTTATTTGAATTCCTGTATGTTTTTTAAAAAGCCATCAGGGTTTCAGTATCTTGTATCACGCCTGTATCTTTCAACAGTCTAAACAGTTTTTCAGAGCTCTGAATTTTCCAAATTTTGCAAATCTCTCACATTAAAAACTAGATTTTCAGTGAGTAGGGAAGGTGTTGAAAGCAAAATGCTTTGAAACACTAGGCTTGTGGGTGCGGAGCACTTTTAAATCTGGCCTCAGAAGTCTGATTTTCAAAGGAGCTAAGTGTCTACAATTTTGACTTCTAATAAGATTGTGAACACTCAGCGCTTTTGAAAACCAGTCCCTTAAATGCCTTCTGCCTTGGCTCCTTCCTCCCTGTAACAAGGAAACAGTTGGCCACCTCAGGACAGTGTTTGAGATCCCTGTTAGGTATCTTTGCTTACAAAGCACTGTTTTACACATACTTGTAATGAAGCCTTTCTACCTGCTCATCAGGAATGAATGGACAGGAAAAGCGGGCAGAGAGTGTGTAGCAGCTGGGGTCAGAAAGTGACCCCAAGGCCATCAGCTTTGGCCATCGGGGGAAACCTGTTCCGCTCACACAGACAGCTTTGTTCAGAGGATCGATAAAGTGCCTTTAGCGTTTAAAGCTGGCTGTCCAAATAAAATATCTCTGTGGCATTGTTTGCTGTTATTGTTTTGGATGGGTGAGGAGAAGGGCGGGATGGGTGCTGGGAAGGCCAGACCTAGAGTAAATTGGTATTTACGCTTTTTTAAAGAAAGGCACTCCTCACTTTGGTTCCAACTGCAGATACAGCGAGAGACATGTGGGTCACAGCTGTCCTGTTCCGCCTGCTCCTGGTGCATCTGAGCTGCTCTCACCTCGTGCACTGGACATACAAAGGTAATGAAAAATGAGGCTGTTTTGGGATTGCTACTGACTGCCAGCTTGCTAAAGACACTCCCATCCTTTTGGTACTGCAGGAGCAACACTCAGCTTGACTCTTTCCATTAGCAAAAGATCTCCACAGAGCAGCTAATTTATTCCTCTTTATTGATGCCTGTGTGTCTTGAAAGTGATTCTCTTCAATGTCACCCCTTTTTACTCCTTTGTGTGGTTAGGGCACATTGTCAGAGTTGGCAGACCAATGAGGTTCAAACAATGGAGAAAAATCTTTACAATGTGTTAGAATAAAAGCTGCCCTTTGGATGATCCTGGAAGGAAAAGCTTTAAATACTGCCTGCTCATTATTTTATTGCCATATCCCATGCGGTACAGATCACTAAGAAGTGCTTATTTATGTATTTATATATTTTGTGAAATTTTATCGGATTTTCATTTGTTTCAGGGGGTTGTTTGCAGAGCTCATTAAAGTAAACGGTAATCCTTTTATGATCTTCAGTGGGCTGGGAATCAAGCTAAAACAAAGGATATTGTTGAATAGATACACTGCTGCAATTAGGACACTAAGCTATTTGCAGAAGTTCTCTCTGGATTTTCTTTTGGCCAGGCTGTCTGCATCTCCTAAGCCCCCCATATTTAATCAATGTCAGGAAACAAACACCTGCAAACTGACATTGCTTAAATGAAATAAAAAGAAAAGAATTGGCAAATAGTAACAAATCCCCAAGTGTGGCCATAAGTATAATAATTTGAAAATTAGGAAGATGATGAAGTAGCTTTGAACTATTTTCTTTTTACAACAGTCACCTCTCCTTCCAAACCATCTCTGCAGGATTTGAAGTCAGTGAGTTCAACAATCACATGATGATTATTCCTTAGCTCTAGCTCCGTTTCTCTCAGACAGACGTGACTCTGACATTGATCGCTATATTGCAGTTCTGGGGTCAAGAAGAAAAGGTTTCCATACTGATTGTCAGTCACGGCCCTGACAGAGATGGCATTAAAATTTCTACTTATGCTTAAAGTGCTAAATATAGCAGTATGGAGAGAGCAAATAGCCTTGAAGGGTTCAGGCATCTGTTAATAGTTTCAGCAGCACCCAGACCTCTGCAGGAAAGATTCAAATTAAGGCTAAGAGGCTTAGAGCCATTGGAAAAAGGATAGCATCCAGCATGCCAGGTCTCCTACACATTTGCTCCCTCCATAGGTGACCACAGGGGGGGTTAGTATTAAATACTTGCGGACACCATGAGCACGTGCAGGTGAAGCTAGGGCCTTTAGTTCTTAGTCCCATGTCAAATGTTTGTGTCTGAGCTAGTGACACTAAGCAGGAAAAGGAGCCAGTATTGACACTTAGCATGACCTTTAGGGGCTATTAGGCCTGGGGGCTGAAGGGGCATCAAGAGCTCAGAGCAATCAGCTGAATCCCGAAATTGGGAGGCTCAGGTACTATTCCACACCAGGATCTGTCTCACAAAAGCAATGAATCACTTTGTCATTATTTGTTGTGTGTAAAAAGGGGGTGCTGGAAAGAAGCATAGCACTGCGCTCAGGAGAAGGGGTGGGTTTTATTAATAAGAATGCACACAGGATATCAAAGCCACCCGAGACCACTCCTATCCCAGAACACATAGAAAAGGTTCCATTTATTTAAACCATTTCACTCCAATTCTTTTGTTAGCTCTCTCCTTAGTTAAAAAAAGCAAATTTGATGCCAGTTCCCAATCCTAAGTGGAGACTTTCCACCTATTGCCCTGGTCCTATTCACTCTCACGTTCATTGAGAACCTGATTCCACACCTTTGGTGGTTGAGACCCATTTAAATCCCCATTTCTATATGAACACTGCTTCTCTTTCGGTGAAGGTTCAGTCTCCAGCGATCAGTAAGCTATTACTGCAATGCAGGTTTCTTATTTTGCAGCACAGTTGTCCTGCAGACAGAATAATGTTTATTTTCACTCTAGGGAAGGCAGAGCAACCTTTTATTGCTGCAGCTCCTGGTGTTATAATAACCAGATTGACAGGCCCTGCTGGCAAATGAGAAGAGTTTTCTGACTCCTGAGCTAACAGCAGTTCTCACCGTGTCCTAATAACCTGGTTTGCTTCTCCTCCACACAGAAGGAGACCTGGATGAAGAGCACTGGGGAAAGCACTTTGCAGACTGTGCTGGCAAGCACCAATCTCCAATTGACATCCAGAGGAAAAAAGTGAGGTACAACCCCCAGTTACTGCAGCTGGAGCTGAGTGGTTATGATGGGCCTTTGCAAGGGGATTTCACAATGACCAACAACGGTCACTCCGGTAAGACTGGGGGGATCCTTCTCATTACCTACCTAAAAAGAGGAGCCGGTCAAGAAGTCACTGCTGACAAAGGAGCAGCCTGAAACAGAAATCAGGACATACAGCTCAAGGAGTTTATTTGGTCCTGCAGCAGCTCTAGCTGTCAGAAAGCGAAGCTCTAAGGCACAAGGAAGCAAGTGCTGCCTGTCCCCTTCAGCCCCATTTTGCCCCCGAGCCATGGCTTGGTACGTGCATGGATCACCGCACATGCAGCATCCAGGGGCCTCCCATGCACTGTTTCCAAGACAGCGGGTGATGCTGGCAGCCAACAGTGCAGGGAACAGGCCAGCAAGCAGCACAGCAAAGGCCTTACATTTTTGAAATGCAGATGTCTTTAATGGTAGGTCTGTCCTTAAAACCCAACCCTTTTATCCACACCTCTTTGTTAGCATCCTGCACTGATGAGTTCAGGTTTCTGTGCATCATACCGAGTTTAGTCCTGCAGTGCATTCAATGAGAGAAAGAACATACCTTCCTGCTGGGACAGCTGATGGAAGAACTACCTAAACCTGACAGCTTTCTGCTTTTAAGCTATAAAGTAGGCTGTAGTGTATCCTCCGGAGGTTTCACCTGGGCAGCGTAGCATTCACTTATTACATTATGTTTGGGGTATAAAGGAGACTTTATGAGTTCAGATATATATTTTCCCAGCACACGCAGAATACGGGAACAGCTCCTGTATGATCACTGCAGCATTCTGCCATAGCTAGAACATTATCACACACCTTTTGTGGCCAGCAAGAGACACGAGGTTGAAATGCAGTGGAATGAGTCAGCTTTGCTGTAGGGGTGGGAAGTTTTTTCTTCCGTGGCTGAGCAGATGTCCTGGGAGGATGTCAAGCTCGTGACAGTGCAAGAACAGATTATTCATTTTAGCTGATTGAAATGCTATTCACAGACAATGCCCCCTTTTTTTTTTTAACTTACCTTACTTTGCTTTGCCATCTCACTTCATTCTACTCTCCTAGATTTGCTGTTTTCCCCAATCACACAGGAAAGCTGTCCAGAAACACATATATAAACCAGAGAAATAAAAGGCAGTTATGGTTGTGCAAGACCATAAGGGATAAAAGGCAGCTAGAGCAGTAGAGATTGACCCTTCCTTTCAGTGTGCTAGAATACTGCAGGACTATAGTAATGAATGGTATTTGGTACATACTGACTCCTCTCTGCGTTCATAAAATGCATCTTTTTCCCCTGTATAATACTAAGAACTAGAAGTGATAGGAATAGAGAACCAGTAGCAAGTTTGCATCCAAGGTTCGGTTAGATGTAGATCACATAAAGTACAACACATAGGAGAATCCCTCCCTTATAGTCAGAGGATTGGTATTTCAGGTCTCAGGAAGGGAAGCTGAAGCACAGCATGGGTTAAAACCTTGCCTTTGGCCACGCAGTCTCAGGGCAGGGTTTATAGTTTAGGAGGTCCTGGATTCCCCTGCTGCAGTCTGTAATTCATTGTCTAAATAAGTCATCAGCTGGTACTGTTGGGATAATGCTGTTGGACTACAGATGAGCAATGAGAGAATTTTCTAATAGCTGCAGTGGGGAGGGAATGAGCGTTTTTGGGAAGGTGTTTGGAACATAAAGCTGGTAGCTCTGTAATGCTGCACAGCAGTCCTTTCTTCCTCTCTGTAAGAGAAAGAAGTATGGAGCAAGAGCAGGGAAATGAAGTGATGAGAGACATACTGCCTTCAGAGAAAGGCTGTTGTGATTGTATTTCTAAAAGTCATAATGAATAAGTACTCCTGTTTGTCACCCACACAAGCTCAACATTCAGTTAGAAGCTCTCGTGTCAGCATTGCTACCCTGACTGCCTACAAATTAATTCCTGCAGGTTTAGCTTTCAGATCTCTGACTGCACATGTGTATTCTCCTATTCTTCTGTTAACATCAAAACAATGATTTTCTGATGCAGGGCATTTTAGAAAAGCACAAAGGCAAAATGACTGTCCTTATTCATAGCGCCTCTGAAGTCAGGCTAGGTTTTCCTACTGGCTTCAGTGCAATAGGACAGGGTAGCAATATCTTTCAAGGAAAATGTTCCACTGGGCCACATCAGAAAACATTCAGCAGATCTGAAAGCGACAGGAGACGGATTTATCAGCAGGACTCTCCTTACAGGCTCTCAGGAGCTGGAGACCAAGTGTCTCACCTAAGACACCAGCTACACTTTCTCTCTAGCTGTGTAATTACCAGGCTAAATCCCACCTGATAAAGCCTATCTGCAGCAGCACAGAGTGTCTGCACAAGGAATTTGCACCTATCTACCACATCTGTGCAGACACACTCTCACAGATAACCTTAGGTTAATGAAGACTTTTGTATTTGGCATTTGGACTTTTCTTTCTTTCTTTTTTTTTTTTTTTTAAACATGATTGGTCCTCTAGTAGGTAGCAAGGACACACACAGCTTTGGAAGATTAAAATGTCATCCATGGAGGGGGTGTGCAGCTTCCTCCAGTAGCAGATTTTTCTTAGAACTGGGACCTCAAGTGTGACCTTCATTAACTCAACCGCCTCAGAGGCCAGAGATAGGAAAATAGGCTGGCTGCCTGTGCTGTAATCTGTAAGGCAGTAATGGACAAGAGTCCCAACTGCAGAGCAGAAATGCTGGAGAAAGGCACAGTTGCACCCAGATTCCCACTGCGTAATCCCAGCTGATTCCCCACTGCCTGGCAAAACTAGAGCTAAGTAGGAGTAAGGCACTTCCAGCTCAGAGCAGTCATACTTTCCACACACACTTTACATGGGTGAAAAATAGAAGCAAACTGGGCTGTTACCGACCTTCAAGCTTTCAGGGAAGTATTTGCATAAAATATCTTACAGAAGACTTAAACTTCCCGTAAACTCAGAACGCAGTTCTCTGGCTGTGTTTTGCGGAAAGTAGAAACCATAGTGAGGTACCTGAGGTACATAACCTTAATTATGGAAGGCAGTCAGCAGGGATCTTGCATAAAAAGTAAGGTAGATGGATTTTTTCCCCCCACTCTAGACTCTTTGGGATATTACAAGGAAACATGTTTTCACCTTGTCTGTCTGTAAACAGTTTACAAACAAAACAAACTTCTCACAAACCCAAACTATGACTAATGAATCATATATACTGTGCTACATTTTGCGAAGATAGTCGCTATTTTTTGTAACGTGCTCTGGGCTTCCATTAGGATGAGACAATTCTCCATTTTCACTCCTAGGTTTGGCATCTTTATCAACATAAATACGATTTGTGGCAGTACATTAGCAGGAAGAAAAATGTTTCATAGTGTCTTTGTGAATACTCCTTGGCGAGGAGAAGCAAAGAGATTTGTCTCAACAAATCCTTCAAGCATTAACACAGCCTTTTCAAACTTACAGGGCTCTGGCCCAGTATGCCTGTTCCTAGAACATGCACAGTCCAGAATACTGGAAATTATGATGGCAGGTTAGATGAGGCCAGTCACTTTGTTGATTTCTATCCCCCTTTTCTTCCTTGGAAATAAAGTAGCTAACAAATCTGTGCAGAGCCCTGCAAGATGTGATGTACTGCACAAGAAGTGAGCGTTAAAGCACCTTTATTCGTGCCTAAGGAAAAACCTAGAGCTGCTCAGATGGAAAAAAAAGTCTGCAGGCACAGCTAGTGCCCAGTCATCTTTGTGCCTGGTGTGGTCTTTGAGGTGCACGAGCCTGAGGTCAGGAAAGATTTTAAGCAGACCTAGCTTTAAGCTTCAGTGGTTTTCCTTGCATACTGGAGTTAGTTCCCTGTGCCAGCTTATTTCAGAGAGGGTGTTATTGGCAGAAAGCACTAGGCACTGTAAGCGTAACTACACGAATGGGCATGGCTGCACCCATTGCTGTCTCCAATCCTGTTTTTTCAGTTCAGATTGATCTGCCACCCACCATGCACATTTCCAGAGGGCTCCCAGGCCTCTACACAGCTGTACAGATGCATCTGCACTGGGGTGGCCTGGACCTGGAGACCAGCGGCTCCGAACACACCATAGATGGGATGAGATACTTTGCAGAGGTACTTGTGAACGGAGTGGGCTGGAGGGAGGGTACGCTGCAAGTCTGGCAATTGCGAAATGGGAAGCTGCAGCCCACAAAACCTGCAAGAAGGAATGCAGAGGCAAGTGGGAGAAACAGGGCTCCCTTAAGTGCAGGTGGTTGGTGCAATGCAAGAGCTGAGCCTGACGGTGCTGGCACAGAAGACTAAGAAAAGCCGTTGCAATAGCACTAATAGCCTTCAAAGATGGAGTTGTTCTTCCACATTTGTCACAAACCTATTAAACTAAAGGTTTATTTGGCTGCGCTGTGAGGCACAAGTAGCAGGAATTGGGATGGTGACTCTCCCTTCAGACTGTATTGGGTACTTTAAAGCACCAAGGAAGCCATTCATGACTTCTTGCTAAATGACCCTGTCTCTCTTCTGACAGCTGCATATTGTCCATTACAACTCAGCTGACTACTCAAGCTTTAAAGAAGCCAAAGACAAACCAAATGGATTGGCTGTGCTTGCCTTCCTGTATGCGGTAGGTTTGACACCCAGGCTGCTGAGCAAGGCCAGTCTGTGATCACTGTTTATGGTATAATCACAGTCCAGACACAAGCAGCCTGTACTGGGTTTGCACGTCTATCTTAAGAGATGATGTCTGCTACCAGTTTGAGGAAGCTGTGCTGCAGCAGGACTGTTCTTCCCTTATGCCATCTGGGGTTCACACTATACCAGCCAATACAACTTGGGAGCCACAGAAAAATTTCCCCCATAAGTACAGATGGATTATCAGGTGTGGCGGCTGGGTTTTCCCTGCTGTACCTCAAGGCCTTGCTCTGATCTGCAAGTGAGAGCACTTGATTTTGTGTGGATTTAGAAGTGGTGAAAAAGGATCCTTATAGTTCACTATTCTACCCGAGACCTATGTGTACATACCTTATCATGCCTAGGATTGTCCAGCCTACCAAGAGATTTGCAATACTATTTGTTCTCCGTCTCCCAGTTTATCAATTAATCCCCCAAGCTGATTAATGGTATAGAAGGACAGGCAGGTCACTAACCTTTTCGTTCAAGTTTCTATGCTGTGTTTAGGATGGGCACTTCGAGAATACCTACTACAGTGAATTCATTTCCAAACTGGCAAAAATCAGGTTTGCAGGTAAGACCTGGGAATGCCTTTTTCCATCCTTGATATTCTCAAAACCTGTATGTATGTACTGGGTCTGGGGACAGGCATTTTGCTGCTGCTTTGCTTGCAGTTACGTGGCCAAGCATCCTCAGCCATGCACAACTTCACACCATCCCTGCCCAACTTCACACCATCCCTGCCCACACAGCTCAAACAGCAGCCCACACAGCAGGGTGGCGTGGAAGATGCTCAAGGCAGCAATAAACATACTCCTGGTAGGTCTACGCAACACGCTGCAGCACCATCAAATAACAACGTCCTACGATCCTGCAGCCTGTAGGCCCAGATAGCAGGTGCTGCGCTGCACTAATATACTCTGCTTCCTGGGAGGACTAACAGCTACTGGCAGAGCGCTGAGGTGCAGCTGCCCACCACCTCTAGGACCCCAGGTATCTCTGAATGACAACCCGTAGATCCACTGAAAGGACCATTCACTTCCCTCCGTCTTCATCCAGTTCTGCCAAAGGTCTAATATACCAGTGCTCTGGGCAAAGTGATTTGTCAACCCCAGCTCTAACACCACTCTCTCCTTTCTCTTTGTTCTCCATTAATTGTTCCTATTGCCTCTCTGTTTCCTTTTGAGGTCAATCAACAAAGCTCATTTCTCTGGATGTCCAAGCCATGCTGCCAGAAAACCTCTCACACTTCTACAGGTACCAGGGCTCACTAACAACCCCACCTTGCTCCGAGAGCGTGATCTGGACCATCTTTCATTCTCCGATTGTCCTGTCACACACACAGGTAAGTGATAGCTGTTTACCAGACAGAGCAGCTTCACTTTCCTCCACGCTTCACCTTTCCACACAAGTTTCCTTTTCTGTCCTCCAGTGATTTTGGGAACAGGCTGACAGAGGTGCTGATAGGGCATTTCTCACACAGGGCTTTTGGGATAGACTCCTAAGCAACTGGAATTACAGGTGGCTGTAACGACACCATGATGCTACATCACAGCAAGGGTCAGTTTCTGTACAGCAGCAGTTTACCTGAGGTCTGGTGAGCGGTAACAAAGCTCTCTGCTCAGTTAAGCTCAACCATGCTGAAGCACTATAAAAAGGAAGAGACCAGTCAGAATCAACAAGGCAAAAACCACTGCAAGAGTCCAAAAAACCCCTTAAAAAACGTAAGAGCCATTCATAACATTAAGACAGTTACAGAATAACTGGCATATTTTTCTAGAACTATTTTGAGTTTAAAAAAATGAGCATTTTTGGGTTTTCTTGTCTACGCTTACATTGTAGAGCTAGATGGGATCATTTCAGGAGTGGCCTGCTGCGAGTTTTGGCTGCGTTGACAGGAGAGGGTTCATCCATGCTCCAGCAGAGGCATTGACAAAGGACCCTGTTGAGTGCACAGGAGCACTGGGCAGTAACCCCACTTGTGCCAGCAGTTGAATACTGTCACATGGCAGGATTCCCTTCTCTTCGCTCTGTCTGCTTTGTCAGGACAAAGGCTTTAGCAGGGAAAAAAGTAACACAAGTAAAATAAGCTTACTGTTGAGTCTTGCAGAGTGGTTCACCTTCCTTAATGAGAAAGAAACAACAGAAACATTTTATTCTAGGAGCAGAACAAGATAAAATGGAGACTACAGTAATGGAGGATCACAGTGTGTTCTCATTTGAAAAATAAATACTCTTTTTGGCAGGGGGAAGGCTAGTAGGCATTTGTGAGAAAACAGTATGCTACAGAATAGCAGCAAAATCTCCATCCATGCATACCATCAGGCAGGTGTTAAAAACTTCCTTCAGGCAAAATATCTTTATCATGAATTAGCTGATAAGAGCCCTCATGTTCTGTTCCTTTCCCTTGCTAATACTCAGCAAGAGACCCTGTGGGTTCCTCTATAACAAATTGCTAGGTTTAATCCTGAGCTGCAGGATCTGCACTGCACTTCTTGGCAAAGCTGTTATTCCCATTGCCTGCCATAATAAGCCTGCGTTGCTCACAGATCAGCCTCCTGGAGAACACCTTGCTGGACTGGCAAAACAGGACGCTGCGTAATGACTACCGGCATGCTCAGCCCCTCAACGGGCGTGTGGTGGAGTCCTCCTTCAGAGCCAAACTCACCCAAGGTAAAGGGAGTCAGCGGGCAGGACTCAAGCTTTCCCTGGGGAAGGGCAAGAAACCTACGTGGAAGTAGTTAAGTTGCAAATCACTTAAGCTAGGCATGCTGGAGATAACCTTTCCCAGGAGTAGCAGTGTCCTTGCACAGCAGGTGGAGATGGCCCATGTGCCTCTGCCCCTTGCCAACACATCTTGCTTCTAATGGTGCAGTGGTAGCTGTAGGTTGTGCACCAGCCCTTTGTTTTGACTGCAATGGTGTCACACAGATCTCCCAAGATAAGTGGTGCTACATGGCACCACACAAGAACACTAGGTTCAAGTGTGTCTGCATCCATATGGGTGAGGATAACCGTTGTAGAAACAGCTCTGGCATGGCTGATTAGCCAGGCACTGTATGGAGGCGAGACGCTGCATTTTAAAACAAAGGTTTTTCCCAAACCTTCTACAAACTAGAAAGCAGAAAATCTACCATGTGCGGGTCCTGGTCTTCTGTAAATTCAGCTGTCTGATTGCTCTAGAACAATGCCATCCAGAAGAATTCAACCTCAGACTGGAACAAATCCAGATGCAGCTCCAAGACATGAAGAGAGAGTTGCTGAATGGAGTGAGCCACATAGGTGAGACACACATCTATTCTTGAGTCCAGCTTACCTTCCAAGGATGAAAAGCCCATGCCCTGCTATCCTTGATGGCCTAAATCATTAACAGGTTTGGTACTGATATGCGCAGGTAGAATTTTGTCCCATATCTAGGCCTGCTGATGGAAATTCTTCAACTACAGCATCATTAAAGCTAGCCCTAATCTAGCTACTCTCACAGCAACTACAGCTTTCTCCTGCAACATGTAAGCACATTTTTACAAACAGTGAAGGATTTAAGCTCACAGTTCCCCTAGGATAAATAATCGTCGTCTCTATTTTACACAAGATGAGAAAAGAGGAAGAAGAGAAAAAAAGTGATTTTCCCAAACAGTTGCGTGAGAGAGCTAAGCTTTTCATCATTTCAAGCCCCCTTCCCTGTTGGTACAACACACGTCAGTAACTGTGGCTCAAGACAGCTAAGACTGTCACAGCCCTGCCAGTTCCTATGGGTGTATTCTTCAGGAGTTGGGCTGATTTATAAGCATAGCAGGAAACGTAACAGCTGGCTTTTTGGTTATTTCAGGTATTAAATCCAGCACTTTTCCAGCTTTCTACTTCCCTGTGGAAAACATTGAGAGTTTTGTGAATGTTCATCCCCTCCATGATATGTCTCTCCAAGCCTTCACCTTATGTTTCTGGACAAAAGCCCAGCATGCTGGCAGTCAGACTGTTCTTTCCTACTCCACGCAGGAGAGGGATAATGAGCTAGTGATGACTGTGGGCACAGATGTGGGATTGTGGATAGGAGGCCATTTCATCAGCTTCCCCCTGTACCACAAGGCACAAGATTGGCTGCACTACTGCATGGCATGGGCCTCCCAGTCTGGCATGGCAAATTTATGGCTCAATGGAGCAGCTGGTAAAGCAAAGAGTATCCAGAAGGGGTATGTGAGCCAGGCTGGAGGGATGCTTGTCCTTGGGAAAGATAGAGACACTCTTCTTGGGACGTTCTCCAATGGTTTTGCAGGGTGGATGACTCACGTGAACCTGTGGAGCCAAGTTCTCAGTCCTGCAGATGTTCGGGCACTTGCACTGTGCAAATCAGGGCAACTGAAGGGAGATATCATAGCATGGGGAGAAACCTCCATGACCCTCTTGGGGGGGGTGGTTCTGGAGTCTGACACCAGCTGTCAGTGACCCCAACTTTTTTTAAGGCAGCAGAAGAATCCAAACTGCTTGCTCGGGAAACTGAGGAAAACTTAGATTATTTGCTTGTTTCTCCTTCTGCTTTGTATAGGCTCACTACGCACCTGCTAGTGCTTCAGGTCATTTTTCCAAGTAGGTACATGGGAGCAAAGCCTCCATCAGTAGGATAGAGACAAAGAATAGAGCAGAACTTGGCACAGTCCAACACCTTGTATAGTCACATCCCACCCAGGAGTTTGACTTAGGTCCCCATACATAGATCCTCCTACATGCCAAAGTGCCACTCTCTTTGGTCAAAGGAGCTGCTCTATCAAGTAAAATATCTCTCATGTCCTTCACCCAGTCTCCGTTTCTTACCATCTTCCCTGCGTGTGTCCTTCCTTCCCATTTCTCACCATCAAATCACCACCCCTTCCCCTGCAGACCTACCGCATAGGAAAGGGTACGTAAAGCCCTTGCAGGACAGAGTGTGGTCCTATGCAATCATTGTGCTTTGATCCATGGCATGCCTTCTTTTCTGTAAATGGATGTAGAGACTGAGCATGGAAGCAGTTTCTTTTTCAACATGTATACATCACAAGTTTGAGGGCAGGTATAAAACTCATTTTCTAAGGTTAAAGTAAATCATGTGAAGGGCTATCTCCATCAACAACAAAATCCGTGCCAGGCTGTTCAACAATTCTGCTTTTTTCAAAACAGAGGGCAGCAGCCTCACATAACAATTAATTAAATTGAATTTCCCCATGTTAAATTTGCCATAATTAACCCCCAAACCCCCTAAACTAATAAAAACTTTAAGAAATCCTCCATTTTTATCAGTGTGCACTTTACTTTCTTCTGAGAGTCAGCACTAGTCCTTCAGACTCGGAGCTTTTCCAAACCAATTTAGCCTTCAGGTGGAATGGTGCCCTTAGGGGACACAGCCAGAAACCAGTAGAATGACCAAGCTCTAAACCACTTGAAGACTTTTTCAAGTGGTTTCAAGTACCTGAGAGCTGAGTTATTTCAAAAAATTAAATTTAAGCAACTCAATGTCAGAATCTAAAGACAAGTTTGGATGTGTTTGCAAACACAGGCTCCAACTTGTAGCTCATTGCACAGGAATCAACCTGAATTTGACTCCTGCAACACAGCAGGGAGGTTCTTAGAGTTCAATACCATGTATCTCTGGGGGATGAATGAGCTCCTACTGGCTCATGCGTACAGAGTAGGGATATGGGGGTTATTAAAGGATTAAGAGAGGGACTGTTGCTCTTTGGCAACTGAAGTGTAAACACTAGGGAGTGAAATGAGCTAAATAGCTCAAAGACTAGAGCGCCACTAGAACAAATAGGTATAAGTTGGCTGTGAATAAGCAACAGCCAGATGGATGACTCCTAACCTCAAGAATAAGGCTTCAGAAGGACTCATCAGCAACAGTTGAGGACTAGGTTTGATTTGAAGGAGAGAGTTGGGTGAGATTATAGTGATAGGCACTTCCAGTTTAACGGTCCTTTGAGGCACACAAGGGAAGGACAAGAGCTGACAGGGTAGATGCCATTGTCAGCCCATCTAACAAAGTACCTCAGAACAACTGATGCTCTCGCCACCCCAGTGCACCAAAGGCCTGGCATCACTCATGTTGGACCCTCAAATACATGAATGACAGTTCCTCAGAGGAATATAGTGCACTCCTTGCACACAACTGACCAAAACCCAGCTCAAGTGCTGGCTTATGTCACCTGAGATGTGTCAGTCAGGACATCAGGGACATACATCACCTTATGACATAGGTTTTGTGATCACAGGAACTGAGCTGGCTGAGGATATTGCCCTTTCCCTGTGACAAATACCATGAATGAGTAATTTGCCTTGGCAGTGGCTATGCCATGAAGCAGAATGGTCCTGCTAATTACTCACAATGAGAACACTCTCGGGACACAGTGGCTTATTTGGAAACTCCTGCTGTGGGAAGTTTGCAGAAGGTCTGAATGAAGATCGGTATCAAACAATGAATCGATGTATTCGTTCTCCCACTGAACAGATCCTGAAAAATATCTGGGCCAGGCCAAACACTGGGCTGGGTCACAGTTCACTGCTGGAGATTTCTTTCTTCTCTGCCTGCCCGCCTGGGACAGTGTGGAAATCCTCAAACTCTTCTTTGTCTTCCTGAATCTCCACCTTGTTCCTCTTGGCCATGATCTTGTTGATTTCCATGAAGGTTTTGTTCTTCGTCTCAGGAACAATAAAGAAGATGTAAACTATAGTGGCAAGGCAGATGGCACAGAAGATGAGGAAGCTGTAGGGCCCCAGTCCAGCCTAGGGCAATGAAAGAAGACAGAGCAGGGATCAAAGGAATACTCCAGCTGCATACATTACATGATCTGGACATGCTGAATCCTGCAATAGCTATAAAAAAAGCAGCCAATGATGTGCACATATTTTAAGTTGAACGACTAGAAGAAGTTAGGGGTGGTTCTAGATTCTCTCTTCTCATACCACCACCATGGATTTATTGGAAAACACCACGGATTTACTGGAAAAGGAGGGTGAGGGTCTGTTACATAAATCAAACTAAACTCGCCAGCTCCCTTTGCACAGGCTAAAATCATCAACTGTAGCAATTTATGGGTCACTACTGCCAGGGATCAGTTTGCACTGGTGACCTAGAGATCAAAAGCTAAAATTGGCTAAAATGGAAGATGGGGAATTTGCAATCTTTTCCATGCTCCCAAATTCAGGATCAGACATTCACCTGGAAAAATAACTGCTTTCTTTTAAAGCATGTGCAACAGACAGATGTGATAAAAAATGCTGATTAACATCAGTTTCTTGCCCTTAATATATAATCCTGCGTACAGGTACTGGGAACCAACTTGGGCATTTATGGCTTTCAGGATTAAAAAGGCTCTCTCTAAGAACACAGGGGTGAAGATACTAATTTTAAGCTGAAGTCTTGCCCTGTCCTGTGATCGCATCTTACCTCCATGTAGAGGAACACAAGCCCCACGGTGAAGTTGCATAGCCAGTGCACAGACCCACCCACCATGAACGCTGCAGGCCGGGATGACTGCAGGAACATCTCGGTGATCATCACAAAGGGAATTGGACCTGGAAGGTAGTTGCATATTTGGAAATCCCCAAGGCAATTACCCCACTCTGAATTCCTAGATTACACTGTTCACTTCAGTGGCAGGCAATGGTTTCTAAACTACTAGTGTTTAGAAACACCCAATAAATCCAATAAGGGATTAAATAAAAAAAAACAACAAAAAAACAGGGCAACTAAATGACTTTCCTAAGCTCACACACAGCAATCAACCTCTTCTCTCCTATGGCTGCACCGTAGCCATGAACCCATCTCCTGCACAAATTGTAAAATAAGGTTGATAAACACGAACTGTCTCTCCAGAGAGCACCCTATGAGCAGCAACTAAGCAGGTGATTGCTTCTTAAAAAAAGAAAAACAGAGAAACACCCCAACACATGCAGGTGTTGGAAAAATGACTCGTGGAACAAGCCCTCAGGCCCGCGCCCTGCACTGCTGCCCTGTGGCACCGTTAAGCAGGAATAGACCGTGTTCTCATTAACGGGGTCAGGCCACAGGTCCAGCTGGCCTGGTGGTCCCCCTCCAGCAATCTCCCTGCCCCCGGCGCTTGAATCCGCCTGATGGCATAAATGGAAAAGGAAAGGTTGTAGGTAATTCCGTCTGCCAGTGAAACCTCTACAGGAGTTTCAAAACCGCATTGCTGCATCCAGCAAGGGTCTGACAGGGCTTTCTAAGCGAAGCAGACAACTCTACCACGCTAAGAAGCTGAGCCAGGACAAAAGCCTTTCCAATATCCACATCTATCTGCACATCTCCTTTCTGCAAAGTGATGTGCGGGGCCACGCATATAATTTGAGTTGCTTTTAATTTCATTTGTTGCCTAGAGATGCAAGCGTGCAACGTCTCTGCCCAGTTGGTAGGGCTCACTATCTCAGCGCAGTTTTGCTCCCAGTCTTACTGGGGGAATTCTCAGGCACAAGCACAATTGTGCCTTTGTTTTTCCTCTTGAAAGCCAGATGCTCCCCTGCCTCACGGACACAGCCAGCAAATCACTGCCTAGCTGGCAATCAACAAGGTGCATGGCCACACAGAGAAGAAATTTGATCTCCTTGGATTAGCTCCACGAAGCTTTTGATTTGAAATTCAGCATAACACTTGGCTTTACCCAGCTCGTGGAGGAGACTGGACTAAACTGTGCATACTTACTGGCTCCAATAGCATGTCCGATGATGTAAACAATGACACACACTATGCTGAGGTAAGACATCCACGAGACAGTGGTCTGTGAAGAATTTAATCACAGGTTAGATGTGGTTCCTATCTGAACATCACCAACACATTCAAGGCACTACGTAGTAAGATCTGAAGGCATTCTAAAGCCAGTGTCACCCTCCATTGCCAGATATGCCCATACTTAGCCACAAAAATCATAGCCTGGCTATGGTCCTTGCTTCAACAAATGGATGTGACAGGTATTATGAACATGACATACTGGAAGTAATATTCAGACAAGCAGGATCATAGCTTTTCCTGGGTTTACTTTGGGTAGATATACAAGTACAGAAACATTTCATACTGTCCCGTCCCACCCAGGGTGTAGAAACAACTTCAAAATATACCAATGGCCTGTTCCCTGGAAGGTCCAGAAATGCACGGGTAGGATCACCTGAGCCATTCAACTACACACCTGGAGATTGAGGGCCAAAGTTAACACTGCACAGGAGACACAGCACAATCCAAAGCCAGCAAGGAGAAGGATTCTCCTCCCCAGGGATTCCACGATGAAAACCTGAAGAGACAGAAGAGGGTGAGAGACCAGAAACCTGGGGCACAGCACTTCTTATTCCACAAAAATTTATTAAGGTAGTCTTTGTCTTTTAAGAAATTCAGTGAAATTTCCAGCATCTACTGATGGATTGTGGGCATGAAGTCACCCAGCAAAAAGCTGGATGTGTCAATAACACTGAGAGAACAGGCAGGCCATCCTTCAGTACCCAATCCCAGTGAGAACTGCGTGGAAGCCCTGCACGGTAACACTGGACAGCAAAAGGAGGGCGTATCAGCCTGGAGACCAGAGATTGAAAACTTCTGAGGCATGTGAGAAATCGGCATGATTAATCACTTTAACGTAGCTGCCTTCAACCAGGGGACACTGCAGGGCATCTATTGTGCAAAGCAGCTCGCAGTATGTGTAAATGACAACCTAATTTAAACAGTGACAGACAGGTGAGACTGGACAAGCTAGAACTCAAAGAGCCCTAAGAGAAACTTACAGCAAGCAAAGTCATGACGACGTTGATGGCACCTATCGACACAGTGACATATTGAACATTATTGTTGTCCACACCTGCCGACTGGAAGATTCTGTCTGCGTAGTAGAAGACCTGCAGCAAAACCACAGCTGTGTTTATATCTGACCAAAGGCAGAACACAGGAATCCCATTTTGGCTGCTTTTACATCCCAGAACTGGTGCACAGAAGCCTGAGAACTGAATTCTTTCATTTCTGGAGATATTGGTGTTTGGATCCAGGCACAAGCACCTTACTCTAAAAACGTCCAAACTATCCTTAACAGGAGAGCTTAGCTCTGTATCTAGTACACGTGTGTACTGGATTTGGTACTGGCCAGGGTCAACCCACCACAACGTGACACAGAACCAGTGTCCCTGATGAAGGGGTACTCCTGCGTCAGCACTGCCCCACATCATCCACTCTAAAGTCCCATCCCTTTGTTACTCACCCCACTGGCCTTTCCCACACGCCTTCCCACTCACCGCGTTAACCCCAGAGAGCTGCTGGCCCATCATCATGACAACAATTGAGATGAGCTGCCATCGCAAGCCTCTGAAGGTGCACAGGCTGAGTACAGAGAAATGTCCTTCCTCCTTTTCTGACCGGTCTTCTTGGCGTATTTCTTCCATCTCATCATCCACATCATCCCAGCCTCTCAGCTTCTGCAGAGCTAGTTGGGAGAGGAAGGTGAGTTATGGACCCCAGAGAACAGGTCTACAGTGAGCTCTCCTGCTTCAGATCAAGTCAGAACAATATGGGCAGCAGTGCTTCCATGGTGGGAAGCCAGGGATTCACATATGCAGAGAAAGGAGCAATGTTGCAGGAATCCCATCCACCAGCAACATGTCAGTGAAGAATTTCACACTGGCTTGCTTCACTGCTGGTTGCTGTCAGCCGTGTCCCACAGTCAGATCTATCCCATTCCACCTCCCCTTTTCATTAAAGGATGATGCTGTACCTTGTCGTGCTTGCTCTTCATTGCCCTTTTGTATCAGCAGATATCTGGGACTCTCAGGGAAAAAGGGCAATATAAGGAGCTGAATTAATGATGGGATCCCAGTGAGCCCCAGCAGCACGGGCCAGCCTGCAACAAGTAAGACAAGATGACAAATCTTTCCCCAATGGAGCCCACAGAAAAGTCCCGAGCCCAGGCTTTACCTTCGGCATTCCCAAGGATGCTGTTGAGACCAAGGATCTGAGCTACAAGGATCCCAAGGGTGATGAAGAGCTGGGGTACTACCCCAATAGCACCTCTCAGATTTTTGGGGGACATTTCTCCAAGGAACATGGGAACCACATTGGAGGCCAGACCTAGTAGGTAGAGAACAATGTTAGACATGCAGCTGACATCAGCACACTCACCGTCTTCAGTAAGATGCCTTTTTCCCCCATGTGAGACCAAAGTGATCCCCGCTGGACCACAGGACATACGGAATCCTCACACTCAAACACTTCTGCTCCAGCTGAAGATTTAATGTCATCTTCTGGCCAGTGAATATGCTGTGTATGTTTTCTTCACTCTTCAGTGGAACATGGGACAAAAAACACGTGGCATTGGTTCACTCAGTAGGTGGACAGGTACAAAATCCATCGCTGCATCTGGTGCCCAGGAATCTAGCTTTCTCCGGGAGCCATTAGAGAAAGAAGTTTGTCCCACTATCTCTCTGTTCATAGGTAATGCTGTCCCTTCACCAAAGCTGTCAATATTACACTCACATATATTAAACTTAAGACAGACATCGTCTCTGTGGCTAAGCTGCAGAGGCATTCCCATGCTGGGGTTAATTCAAGGAGCCTGGATTGTTTCACCCATTTCAATTGAAATACAGTAGGGAACCAACCATGTGTGCACGAGGGGCCTTGGGGCCTTGGGAGTGCAACCTGCCCACGTGCTGGTGCTTTGAGGGTCTAGCTTATAAACTGCTCAGCAGCAAAGCATTTTAGGAGTCCGAGAAGGCTAACAGTAGCCTGTCTTGCCTACAGAGCTGGCAGATGATTTGGGGACTCTCAGTGTTCATCTTCCTAAGAGTAGCTTTCTCCCAGCAGAGTCTGCCAAGTACTTCAATACAATACATGCAAAGAAATATTGTGTGCTACTTCAGGTTTGGAAACAAACTCAAAGTGTAAGGGAGGAATTTCTACTTCCTCTAAAACAAGAAAAGAAACCGGTATCCAAACAAGCTGATGTGGGGGTGGAAGGATGCGACTTCTTGCTGGCTTTTAAAAATTCACTACTCCTTTAATTGCTCAGTAACACTTTGCGGAGAGCTTTGCTGGTTTGAGATTTCTTACAGGTAGTATGCTGGAATAGGTATTTCTACACTAATAGGACACAGGTTATTTTGAGGAACATTGCATGGTCACCCACAGTAACCCCAGAGAGCTGCCAGCTCCCATGCTTACGCTGTAAATCCTGGCACGCAAAACCCAAACTCCTGGAGTCAAATGACCACATGAGACTCTTATCTTGCATTTCTAAAGTTCCTAGCCTTCAGGAGCTCGGAGTTACTAAGATGATCAAGCTGTTATCCGAAAGCCAAGAGGCATGGAAACAAGTATTAAAGCAACTAGAAAACATTATAAAACTAAACTCACGAGGTGTAGTGTTTTAAGTTCACACTATAACCAGCCTTTTAATTGTCCAGATTAAAACACGCTAGCAGTGACTCCTGGACTACCGCGTTCAAGTTACAGCAGCTTTCTAACTCTTCAGACCCATGCTGATCGAGCCCTGTCACAGAGGGGCCCTGCATACAACAGGGCTGTCAACAGGGCTACCAGCACCGGAGATGCCCTTTTGGGAGGAAGGGTGACGCTCGGATCCTACCGGAGCCAGAAGCAGGCTGCCTTGGCTCAGCAGCTTCCCTCCCCAGACACAGTGTCCACAGTTCAAGTGAAGTCAAGCTGTGAAGGGCAAGTCAGGACAGCCAGTCCAGATCCTTTAGTCAGTTATAAATAACTGGAAAGAGGGATCACGCTTAACAGGTCCCTTAGTATTTATTCAGAGAACCAATGCTAAGAGCAGCTGCCAGGCTTAGGAGAGTCAAAAGCCAAAACAAAACCATTGGACTAGAGAAATTTCCTGCCTTAGCTCACCAATGGCAATTGCTGCATGTTACAGATCAGGTTGTTTTCCTATATCAGTTCTTTGTTTTCTCGTTTTATCTTTACAGGATATCCCAATTCACTAATAAACCATGGACCATGTCAGTCTCACCAGCCCAAAGCCAATTAATTGAGCTTAAATGCTGTTAGGACCCTTTATCAACCTAGCTCTGCACACTCTCAGTGCAGCACTGCATGGGGTACCCAGCCATTCTGGGTTCTGTTTGTTCCATATTACTGTAGCTCTAATAGAGCCACTTATACCAGCAACTCCCGTACACCCTTCGCCTCGGCTTCCCACTATCTTTGCAGTTAATCCAGGGGCTCTGAACCCTTCGCTCTCCCTTTTAACATTTCTTTTCTCCTGCAGGAATAACAGTCAGTTCCAGGACTGGATTATTGGATCTGGCATTGTCTCCAATGACTTTGACTTAGAAGGATTATTCTGGTTTTGATTACGTTAAAAAGCAAAAAAAAAAAAAAGAAAAAAAAAATCTGCTTTAAGATGTCTGGGAAAACAGATTAACAACATCAGGTTTCCTGGCTGTCAGAGCTCCAGTGCCTAGCAGATGCTTATTACAGAGAATAGCTGCATCTACAGACACACATCTTCCCTGTACCTCCAAAATTCCAGTCCCACTGCCATTGTTT